TTTTTCCCCCCCCCCCCCCTTCTCAAATATTGCTTGTCTTTCCTGCTGGTCGGTATATTTAGCGTTTTCGTTTACTATTAAGCGATTCGGGGTTTTTTCTGCAGTAAATGTCAACTTTTAGATATGAGAGAAATGCGTAATCTAGTCGAGCGAGTGATCTAGAGGAATTGTTGTCGAACCTGCTTGTATTATCTGCAAAATGGAACAAAGAAGATACGCTCAGTGGCTGATGGAGCACACGAAAGTTATTCTCTTGACTGCACTGCTTGTGTTTGGTGCGATGGCACGAGCGCAAATTCAGTACTCCATCTCCGAGGAACAGAAGGACGGAGCTGCTGTGGGAAATATCGCGAAGGATTTGGGCATAGATCATAAAAGTTTAAAAGAGCGAGGATTTCGCATTGCCTCAACCTCAGGCGAGTCTATGTTCAGTGTGAATCAGAATGACGGTGTCTTGTATGTGAACGGTAAAATAGACAGAGAAGAGGTGTGCGAGAGGAGCACCCCGTGTTTAATTAATCTAAAATTCGCTCTAGAAAACCCACTTGAAATTCATTATGTAATTGTTGAGATTTTGGATGTAAACGACCACGCTCCGAGTTTTCCTGAAAGCCAGATGGATTTAGAGATCGGAGAATCTGCCCTTCCCGGTGCGAGATTTCAACTTCAGGCAGCGCGTGATTCTGATAGTGGCAGTAATTCTGTGCATCAGTACAAACTTGGTCATAACGATAATTTCCGCCTTGAAGTCAAAGATCGTGGAGAAGACGGTAAAATTCCTGTCCTGATTTTACAAAAGCATTTAGACCGAGAGTTAACCCGAACCATTAACTTGCACATAACAGCTCTTGATGGAGGAAAGCCTGCCAAATCAGGGACAATGGATATAACTATTAACGTGATTGATATAAATGATAACGTCCCCGTTTTTACCAAAGATATTTATTCGGTCATGCTGAATGAAAATGCACCTATAGGTACACCTGTGATACAGGTTAACGCTACAGATTGTGACGAAGGCTCAAATGGTGAGGTTGTTTATTCATTTGGTAAAAATGTTAACAGTAAAGTACGAAAGCTTTTTGATATCAACACCATCACTGGTGAAATAACTGTAGAAGGGCTCTTGGATTATGAGGACAAGGACAGCTATGAGATTGACATACAAGCATCTGACAAAGGAACTGTTCCCCACAGAACAGATAAGAGTATAATGATAAAACTTATTGACATAAATGACAATGAACCAGAAATAGAGGTCACATCATTTTCAAGTGCAATTCCAGAGGATTCTAGACCTGGTACTACAGTGGCTTTGTTAAGTGTCACAGATTTAGACTCTGGGCTCAATGGCAAAATCTCTTGTTTTTTAGAAGATAACATGCCTTTCAAACTAATACCTTCTTCACAACATAGCACATATTCATTAGTTACCATGTCACCTTTAGACAGGGAAACACAATTTCAGTATGACATCACATTAGTTGCAAAAGATATGGGACAGCCATCATTGTCTTCTGTTAAAACTGTAACTGTTCTGATATCAGATATAAATGACAATAGTCCGGAATTCTCATTTTCTCCTTATGCTTTTTATGTGATGGAAAACAATGTCCCAGGCAAATTTTTATTTTCTGTGTCTGCTACTGACAAAGACTCTAATGAAAATGCTATAGTTAGCTATCACATATGGAGAGAAAGTACTGAGGAAAACAAATATACATCCTTCATTAATATTAATTCTGAAAATGGGGAGATTTTTGCGCTTAAGAGCTTTGATTTTGAAATTGTTAAAACGTTCCAGTTCCATGTTGTTGCTACAGACTCTGGAACTCCGTCTCTGAGCAGTAACGTGACAGTGAACGTGTTTATTCTGGATCAGAACGACAACGTTCCAGTGATCTTATATCCAGTCAGCGCTAACGGTTCTGCTGAGGGTGTGGAAGAGATTCCCCGTAATGTGAACGCAGGTCATTTGGTGACTAAAGTCAGAGCCTATGACGCAGATATAGGATACAACGGCTGGTTATTATTTTCACTGCAGGAAGTTAGTGACCACAGTCTCTTTAGCTTGGACCGCTATACAGGACAGATAAGGACCCTTCGCTCATTCACAGAAACAGACGAGGCCCAGCATAAACTGCTCATACTGGTCAAAGACAATGGGAACGTTTCACTCTCAGCAACAGCGACTGTGATTGTCAAAGTTGTGGAGCCCAAAGAGGCTTTTGCTGCTTCTGATGTTAAACACACAGTAAAAGATGAGGAGGAAAACAATGTGATATTTTATTTGATCATCACTTTGGTCTCGGTTTCAGTGCTTTTTGTCATCAGCATCATCGTGTTGATTGTAATGCGGTGCTCTAAATCGACAGACTATTCGTCCAAGTATTTACAGGACACAAATTACGACGGGACTATGTGTCACAGCATCCAGTACAGATCTGGAGACAAACGGTACATGTTAGTTGGACCCAGAATGAGTATCGGCTCTACTTTAGTCCCGGGCAGTAATGGAAATACTCTAGTGATACCAGATCGCAGGAGGAGAGATTCTGGAGAGGTAAGCAAATTATTTATGCATCTGTGTAATTGTTGTAGGAAACAATCTTAAGGCAGAAGTTTTCTGCTCTCTGTGGTACTGAACCTGCTCAGGCTGTTTTTTCTAATGGAACACTATTAGTGTCTGTCTTCCTTAGATTCAGATTTTATTTATTATTTAGACTTAGGATTTACATTACCAAAGCACATGAATATAATAAACATAGCCAAAGAAGGAGGAAAGGGAAAAAAGGAAGTACTAATAAAATAAGTAGTAATAGAGCCGTTTGTTATTCTGTTTTACTTTTATGCATTTTGCACAATGGTTGTATTGTTGTTCTTTTGTCATAACAGGCCTTTCATATCTTGCAGCCAGGTTTGAACATCTCTGATTAGCAATGAAAATGGGATATTTTCCTGTGTCTGATTAAAGTTATTATGGTGGGCAGTGAATTAATGAAAAATGGTTTCTTAATATGTATAATTGAGGCATGTTAATAAAGTGCAATTATGTTTCCATTTCATTTAGTGTGCAGTGCAGTCTTTCATTTGCCAGGTCTGTCTGTGCCTGTTCATCTCTATGGCGAGATTGTATTCACTTGGTCTGTATATAGTCAGGACTTGTTTTAGTGGTCCTGTGGTCAGGTACTCCACCAATTTTATATTCACTGTTTAGGGACAGAAATCATTTCAGTTTACTTTAAGCTGTTAATGTCCAATGTGGATTGATATATATATATATATATATATATATATATATATGTAATTTCTTTTTGTTTTAATATTTTGATTTTGCTAATTTGGTCATGGTCAAGTCAACTGTAAAACAAAAAGACTTCACTCTGGTATCTGGGTGGACTGCAATTTCAAGGCCTTTTAATTTAATTATTAGTTGATATCCTACTTGTTCAGCTCTGCAGGACTATTCGTCCAAGTATTTACAGGACACAAATTATGACGGGACTCTGTGTCACAGCATCCAGTTCAGATCTGGATAAAATTTAGAGTTTTGCATTGTAATAATTTAAAAAAAAAAAAATCTTTGTTTACAGCCTTGTATAATTTTGTTGCTGATGTTTATTCCAAGGTATGTATATTTATGAGCTTGTTCTAAAGGCATATATTTTTATTCCCTCTCTCATTCACTTTCACTCACTCACTTGTTTTAATAAAACATTACGTTCAGTCTAATGGGAAAATGTTGAGTATTTAAACATAGCTTAAATCACAATTTGTGTGGATGGTTTTTAAGTCCACTGATAAAATTACATACATTTGACAGCAGTAAAATATTTCTGAACGTTGCAATGCAACTAAGGCTTTAGATCGCGAGATGTCAGTGTAAACCTGGAGAAAGACTCTTGACGTCAAACGGTTGCTCATGGGTTTTTTGTTCCGCCTTCTCAGTTTATTAGTGTGTTTTCTAATTTTCAGCACCGGTGCTGTAAGATTTGTCAGGATTGAGTACAGCGTCTTTCTATTGTCTGACTGGTTTTCAGCGTAAACGTGAGCAACGATGGAACTATACAACACATATTTATAGATTGATCTTGAAATTGCGTTGGAAGGGATTTTTGTCATATTGGAAAAATGGAACAAAGAAGACGCTCTCATCAGCTGGAGCTGAATGCAAAACTCGCTTTCATTGCTGTTGCAATGTTGTTTGGGAGAGCAGTTTGGGCACAAATACGGTACTCGATCTCGGAGGAGCAGAAGGACGGAGCTGCTGTGGGAAATATCGCGAAGGATTTAGGTATCGATCACAGAACACTAAAGGAGAGGGGATTTCGCATCGTCTCGACCTCAGGCGAGTCAATGTTCAGTTTAAATCAGAATGACGGCGTCTTGTATGTGAACGGGAAAATAGATAGAGAGGAGGTGTGTGAGAGGAGCACCCCGTGTTTAATCAATCTGAAAATCGCTCTAGAAAACCCACTAGAAATCCACTATGTCATTGTAGAGATATTGGATGTAAACGATTACAGTCCACTGTTTCCCGAGAATGAAAAGCGGCTGGAAATTGGGGAATCTGCTCTGCCAGGCGCGCGATATCCGCTACAGGCAGCGCGTGATCCAGACAGTGGAAGCAATTCGGTTCAGACCTACAAACTCAGCCACAACGACAATTTCCGTCTTGAAATTAAAGATCGAGAAGATGGTAAAATTCCAATTCTGATTTTACACAAGCCGCTTGACAGAGAAGTGACGAAAAACATAAAATTAGTATTAACTGCTTTAGATGGCGGGAGACCGTCTAAGTCTGGCTCAATAGAAATATTGATTGATGTGCTGGATATAAACGATAATGTGCCTATTTTTACGAAAGAGTCTTACACTGTTGTACTGAATGAAAACGCACCAGTGGGCACAACAATTGTACAGGTTAATGCCACTGATATGGACGACGGTCAAAACGGACAAGTAGTTTATGCATTAGGAAATAATGTTAATAATAACTTGCGTGAACTTTTTCAAGTTAATCCAGTCACTGGAGAAATTATTGTGACTGGTGTTTTAGATTTTGAGGTCAAAGATCTATACGAAATTGACATTCAGGCATCTGACAAAGGAATTGTTCCTCTTGCGACGGATAAAAGTGTAATCATAAAAATCGTTGATGTAAATGATAATGCACCGGAAATAGAGGTCACATCATTTTCAAACGCCATTCCAGAGGATTCTAGACCTGGTACTACAGTGGCTTTGATAAGCGTCACCGATTTAGACTCTGGGCTCAATGGAAAAATCTCCTGTTCAATATCTGATGATATACCTTTTAAACTAATGCCGTCATCACACGATAATATTTATTCTTTAGTTACCTCTGGATTACTTGACAGAGAAACGAAATTCCAGTATGACATAACATTAGTTGCAAAAGATGCGGGACAGCAAACATTGTCTACTATTAAAACTATAACAGCTCTAATATCAGATGTAAATGACAATATTCCGGAATTCTCATTTTCTCCTTATGCGTTTTATGTGATGGAAAATAATGTCCCAGGCAAATTTGTATTTTCTGTGTCTGCTACTGACAAAGACTCTAATGAAAATGCTATAGTTAGCTATCAAATATGGAGAGAAAGTAGCGAGGAAAATAAATATACGTCTTTCATTAACATTAATTCTGAGAATGGGGAGATTTATGCGCTTAAGAGCTTTGACTTTGAAATTGTTAAAACCTTCCAGTTCCATGTTGTTGCTGCAGACTCTGGAACTCCGTCTCTGAGCAGTAACGTGACAGTGAACGTGTTTATTCTGGATCAGAACGACAACGTTCCAGTGATCTTATATCCAGTCAGCGCTAACGGTTCTGCTGAGGGTGTGGAAGAGATTCCCCGTAATGTGAACGCAGGTCATTTGGTGACTAAAGTCAGAGCCTATGACGCAGATATAGGATACAACGGCTGGTTATTATTTTCACTGCAGGAAGTTAGTGACCACAGTCTCTTTAGTTTGGACCGCTATACAGGACAGATAAGGACCCTTCGCTCATTCACAGAAACAGACGAGGCCCAGCATAAACTGCTCATACTGGTCAAAGACAATGGGAACGTTTCACTCTCAGCAACAGCGACTGTGATTGTCAAAGTTGTGGAGCCCAAAGAGGCTTTTGCAGCTTCTGATGTTAAACACACAGTAAAAGACGAGGAGGAAAACAACGCGACATTTTATTTGATCATAACTTTGGGCTCGGTTTCAGTGCTTTTTGTCATCAGCATCATCGTGTTGATTGTAATGCGGTGCTCTAAATCGACAGACTATTCGTCCAAGTATTTACAGGACACAAATTACGACGGGACTATGTGTCACAGCATCCAGTACAGATCTGGAGACAAACGGTACATGTTAGTTGGACCCAGAATGAGTATCGGCTCTACTTTAGTCCCGGGCAGTAATGGAAATACTCTAGTCATACCAGATCGCAGGAGGAGAGATTCTGGAGAGGTAAGCAAATGGCTTATGCATCTGTGTATTAGTTGTAGGAAACAATTTTAAGATAGATGCTGGCTGCTGTCCGTGGTACTGAACATGCTCAGGCTGCTTTTAAATGGAATATTCTTAGTGTCAACCTCTTTCTCAGGTTCAGATTTATTAGATTTAGGATTCACATTACTAAAGCACATCAATATTAAATAAAGAAACATACAGCCAATGGAGAAAGATTCTTAATATATGTAAGATTGGGGTCTGTTGATACAGTCCAATTCTGTTTCCACTTCATTCAGTGTGCAGTGCAGTGTTCAGTTTGCCAGGTCTGTCTGTGCCTGTCCATCTCTATGGCGAGGTTGTGTTCACTTGGTCTGTATATGGTCAGGACTTGATATAGTTTAGGGTTTAGCCTGTGGTCAGGTATTCCAGCACTTTTATGTTCTCTGTTTAGTGACATAAATCATTTCAACTTGCTTTGAGCTTAGGCTTCTGTCCAATGTTGTGCTTTTTTTTTTCTTTGTTTTTTTCTTTTGATTTGGTCATCTGGGTTTTCTCCTGTGGTTCAGATGGACATGGATTTCATTGTAAAGTCAATTGTAAAACAAAAGGACTTCTCTATAGGATCTAGTTCTGGGCTTTGTGGTGAAGCTCTGTGTATCATTACTATCTGGGTGGACTGCAATTCCAAGGCTTTTTTTATTTAGTTATTTGTTGGTATACTCCTAATTCTGCTGGACAGGAGTTATCTAGAGTTTTGCATTGTAATAGTAATACATTTTTTTTGCTGAACGTGATGCCTGCAGCCTCTGAGTGTTGTCCTATTTAGTTAACTGTTGGTTTGTGAACGGACGCCAAATCGCACGTCCATAGATGTTTTTTGACATGTAAATTAATATTATTTTTAACGATATAAAATCTTGTCGTTTAAACATCTTTAAATCACAATTTGTGTGGATTGTTTTTAAGTCCACGGATAAAACTATATGCATTTGACAGCAGTAAAATATTTCTGAACGTTGCAATGCAACTAAGGCTTTAGATCGCGAGATGTCAGTGTAAACCTGGAGAAAGACTCTTGACGTCAAACGGTTGCTCATGGGTTTTTTGTTCCGCCTTCTCAGTTTATTAGTGTGTTTTCTAATTTTCAGCACCGGTGCTGTAAGATTTGTCAGGATTGAGTACAGCGTCTTTCTATTGTCTGACTGGTTTTCAGCGTAAACGTGAGCAACGATGGAACTATACAACACATATTTATAGATTGATCTTGAAATTGCGTTGGAAGGGATTTTTGTCATATTGGAAAAATGGAACAAAGAAGACGCTCTCATCAGCTGGAGCTGAATGCAAAACTCGCTTTCATTGCTGTTGCAATGTTGTTTGGGAGAGCAGTTTGGGCACAAATACGGTACTCGATCTCGGAGGAGCAGAAGGACGGAGCTGCTGTGGGAAATATCGCGAAGGATTTAGGTATCGATCACAGAACACTAAAGGAGAGGGGATTTCGCATCGTCTCGACCTCAGGCGAGTCAATGTTCAGTTTAAATCAGAATGACGGCGTCTTGTATGTGAACGGGAAAATAGATAGAGAGGATGTGTGTGAGAGGAGCATCCAGTGTTTAATCAATCTGAAAATCGCTCTAGAAAACCCACTAGAAATCCACTATGTCATTGTAGAGATATTGGATGTAAACGATCACAGTCCACTGTTTCCCGAGAATGAAAAGCGGCTGGAAATTGGGGAATCTGCTCTGCCAGGCGCGCGATATCCGCTACAGGCAGCGCGTGATCCAGACAGTGGAAGCAATTCGGTTCAGACCTACAAACTCAGCCACAACGACAATTTCCGTCTTGAAATTAAAGATCGAGAAGAAGATGGTAAAATTCCAATTCTGATTTTACACAAGCCGCTTGACAGAGAAGTGACGAAAAACATAAAATTAGTATTAACTGCTTTAGATGGCGGGAGACCTCCTAAGTCTGGCTCAATAGAAATATTTGTTGATGTACAGGATATAAACGATAATGTACCTGTTTTTACGAAAGAGGCCTACACGATTACATTGAATGAAAACGCACCAGTGGGCACAACAATTGTACAGGTTAATGCCACTGATTTGGACGAGGGTAAAAATGGAGAGGTAGTTTATGCATTTGGAAATAATGTCAACTATAATTTACGCAGACTTTTTGAAGTTAATTCAATCACTGGGGAAATAATTTTAACCGATCGTTTAGATTTTGAGATGAAGGATAAATACGAGATTGACATACAAGCATCTGACAAAGGAATTGTTCCTCATGCAACGGTTAAAAGTGTAATCATAAAAATCGTTGATGTAAATGATAATGCACCGGAAATAGAGGTCACATCATTTTCAAACGCCATTCCAGAGGATTCTAGACCTGGTACTACAGTGGCTTTGATAAGCGTCACCGATTTAGACTCTGGGCTCAATGGAAAAATCTCCTGTTCAATATCTGATGATATACCTTTTAAACTAATGCCGTCATCACACGATAATATTTATTCTTTAGTTACCTCTGGATTACTTGACAGAGAAACGAAATTCCAGTATGACATAACATTAGTTGCAAAAGATGCGGGACAGCAAACATTGTCTACTATTAAAACTATAACAGCTCTAATATCAGATGTAAATGACAATATTCCGGAATTCTCATTTTCTCCTTATGCGTTTTATGTGATGGAAAATAATGTCCCAGGCAAATTTGAGGATACAAATTACGACGGGACTATGTGTCACAGCATCCAGTACAGATCTGGAGACAAACGGTACATGTTAGTTGGACCCAGAATGAGTATCGGCTCTACTTTAGTCCCGGGCAGTAATGGAAATACTCTAGTCATACCAGACCGCAGGAGGAGAGATTCTGGAACGGTAAGAAAAGGACTAGAGGTGTGCTGTATTGCCAGCTTTGTACTTTGTACTTTTATTTTTATTTTTATTTTTTATATTTTTAATACTTTTATTTGATTTTTATAGCTCCATACGCATGTGAATTCTGTATTATTCTTGGATTGTTTTGCTATGCCCTAATGGCTGAACAAACTGTAAATGAAACCGTGCGTGCTAGTCGCTGTCCTTGGTTCTGAATATATGATGCAGCATTCTGTCCTGCAAAGTTCTCTCTTTTTTTCTCTTTCTGTGTATATTTTAGATCTATTAGACGAGCTTTAAAAAAAATATATATATATTAGTTCATTATGATAGTTTCATTATGAATTCGCATAGTTTAATGAATAGCAATCCAACGAAATAGCGCGAGGTGTCAGTGTAAACCTAAAAAGTTAGACTCAAAACGTCAGAGTACCTCCCCGTTTTTTCGTCGTCATTTTGTATATGATCACTTTTTCATCAGAGGCGTGGCTTGCTCGGTGCTTTTGTCCATTGTTTTTCTTAGTAAAATCTTTCGAGGGTTAGGGCATCTGTCGTGTTGTCATTGGACTAATATTTGGATAGTCGTTGTGAAACTGCTGTGGAATCAATACGTTGCAAAAATGGGACGAAGACGTGATCAGTGCCTTGAGCGCCATGTGAAAATCATCTTCATTGTTGTATCAATTATTTTTTGCAGAACGGTTTGGGCACAAATACGTTACTCGATTTCTGAAGAGCAAAATGACGGAGCTGCTGTGGGAAATGTTGCAAAGGATTTGGGTATTGATCACAAAACACTAAAGGAGCGAGGATTTCGTATCGTCTCGACTTCAGGCGAGTCAATGTTCAGTGTAAATCAGAATGACGGTGTCTTGAATGTGAACGGTAAATTAGATAGGGAGGAGGTGTGCGAAAGAAGCACCCCGTGTTTAATACATTTAAAAATTGCATTAGAAAACCCTCTCGAGATTCATTACGTGACTGTTGATGTAATAGACGTGAATGACCACGGTCCGAGATTCCCAGAGCAGGAAAAGCATTTAGAAATAAGTGAAACGGTGCTTCCCGGTGCGCGATTCCAGCTTCAGGCTGCGCGCGATCCAGACAGTGGCAGTAATTCAGTTCAGACTTATAAACTGAGCCACACCGATTATTTTCGTATTGAAATTATAGATCGTGATGAAGACGGCAAAGCTCCCGTGTTGGTCTTACAAAAGCCGCTCGACCGAGAGATTACAAAAAGTATGAAATTGCAGATGACTGCTTTAGATGGAGGCAGACCACCAAAGTCTGGAACTATGGATATTGTGATTGATGTGTTAGATATAAACGATAATGCCCCTGATTTCACTAAAGCTACTTACACTGTTACGCTGAATGAAAACGCACATGTAGGCACAGTAGCTTTAAGGGTGAACGCAACTGATTTGGACGAAGGTCAGAACGGGGAAGTAGTTTATTCATTAGGACACAATGTTAATTACAAGTTGCGTAAACTTTTTGATGTCAATCCAATCACTGGAGAAATTATTGTGACAGGTCTTTTGGATTTTGAGATAAAAGATAAATATCAGATTGACATTCAAGCATCAGACAAAGGAATTGTTCCTCTAACAACAGATCAAATTATAACTATAAAAATTGCTGATATAAATGATAATCCCCCACAGATAGAAGTGACATCATTCTCAAGTGCCATTCCTGAAGACTCCAAACCTGGCACAACCGTGGCTTTAATAAGTGTCTCTGATTTAGATTCTGAAATAAATGGGAGAGTCACCTGTTCATTCCCAGAGGACATACCTTTCAAACTAATGCCGTCATCACAAGAAAATACGTACTCGTTAGTGACAACTTCATCTCTTGACAGAGAGACAATTTCTTGCTATGACATCACATTAGAAGCCAAAGATGCTGGTCAGCCACCACTGTCTTCTGTTAAATCTATAACTGTCCAGGTATCAGATGTTAATGACAATAGTCCAGAGTTCTCTTTTTCCCCTTACGCATTTTATGTGATGGAGAATAATGCTCCAGGCAAAAATTTATTTTCTGTGTCTGCCTCTGACAAAGACACAGGTGAAAACAGTGTAGTCAGTTATCAAATATGGAGAGATGGTGTAGAAAACAAATATACATCTTTCATTAATATTAACTCTGAAAATGGTGAGATTTATGCACTTAAGAGCTTTGATTTTGAAACTGTTAAAACGTTCCAGTTCCAAGTTGTTGCTACAGACTCTGGAACTCCGTCTCTGAGCAGTAACGTGACAGTGAACGTGTTTATTCTGGATCAGAACGACAACGTTCCAGTGATCTTATATCCAGTCAGCGCTAACGGTTCTGCTGAGGGTGTGGAAGAGATTCCCCATAATGTGAACGCAGGTCATTTGGTGACTAAAGTCAGAGCCTATGACGCAGATATAGGATACAACGGCTGGTTATTATTTTCACTGCAGGAAGTTAGTGACCACAGTCTCTTTAGTTTGGACCGCTATACAGGACAGATAAGGACCCTTCGCTCATTCACAGAAACAGACGAGGCCCAGCATAAACTGCTCATACTGGTCAAAGACAATGGGAATGTTTCACTCTCAGCAACAGCTACTGTGATTCTCAAAGTTGTGGAGCCAAAAGAGGCTATTGCAGCTACTGATGTAAAAAATGCAGTAAGAGACGAGGAGGAAACCGACGTGACATTTTATTTGATCATCACTTTGGGTTCGGTTTCAGTGCTTTTTGTCATCAGCATCATCTTCTTGACTGTAATGCAGTGTTCTAAATCGACAGTCTATTCGTCCAAGTATTTACAGGATACAAATTACGACGGGACTATGTGTCACAGCATCCAGTACAGATCTGGAGACAAACGGTACATGTTAGTTGGACCCAGAATGAGTATCGGCTCTACTATAGTCAGTAATGGAAATACTCTAGTGATCCCAGACCGCAGGAGGAGAGATTCTGGGGAGGTAAGAAATGTTAAGGTTTGATATATTTTCATTTGTATATGTATTTTTATGACCATTACCATTTAGATATAGATTGTGGTTGTGGTGAAAGAGTTTCATCAAACACTTGCATTACTGGAGCTGGACAGTGGATTTATGGGTCCCAACATACTGCACTTTGCATGGGATTGAATTGGAAAAGTATATGTTGAAATTATAGTAAGTGAAGTGCTAGTGTTTAATGTTTAGATTTATAAGAGTTTCTGTTGTTGGCATTTTTGTGGTTGCTATTGTGGTGAAGAGTAGATCTGGTACTTAGATTGTGGGCCATAACATGAAAACCATGGTGTTGCTTTAATAAATATGCAATAGCTAGATGTGCAAATGCCAGTGTAGTGTGTCTTTTCTTGCTTACTCTTTTAATACATTACATTTAGTAAAAAAAATAATTAAAAAAAACATATATATACTGTATATATATATCTTCTTCTCTGATCTGAATTGCAGGTGTGGGGGAGAGGGGAGTCGCTGGAGGTGTGAATGGTTGTGTGGAGAGGTGTTCAGGGCGGGTGTGGGGTGTCTTTTCTGAAGATTAATTAGATATGTTGAGGTGAAATTCAAAGAATAAGTCAAGTTAAATTGATGTCTTTTCATTGAATTAATAAGATTTTTATTTGATGGTACAGTTTGATGGGTATAATTTTAAGTTCTGATAAATCTATTAAACTGGATATCTATCTATCTATCTATCTATCTATCTAACTATTTAATTTTATTTATTTTTTTATTTGTGGTGGTCTACTTTTTTTACCTACATATAAAATTTAAGTCTTAACATTATTTTAAAAAATCATAATTGTTATACTATACTGTTATACTGTACTATAGCTTTTAGTAAAGGAAGGGTGTCAAACAGTAGTCCTTGCTCTGAGAAATATTGGCCTTACACATCATGTTTTGACATGTCATACCACGTCATACTTTGATGGCTTTAGAATGTGAATTAGAATTAGAATTTGGATGTTTGATAATAAGATTCAAATTCACATAATTGAGTAACAAATTATCCAGCTACTACCTGTTTATTTGTTATAAAGTGAACTACTTTCTAATGCCATTGATTGCTTCTTTAAAAGATCACAAGTTAACGTTTATGATTGTAGGTCTAGGCTACATAAAAGTGGACTGTTTTGGTTGGAATGAAATATAAAACTACAATAGGCCTACTACTACAATGGCTTGTAAACAGTTCTAATAACTTCTGTGCGCCATTTCGACATAAATCTCTTGTCGTAATTATGACTTAATTAAATATTTTTGTAATTCCGTTTTATGTTTTTTTATTTTTTAAGTTACTAATTTTTAAACCGGTTTTTTTATTTATTTATTTTTACTTAGTCTAACTGTCAGTTCTTTTAATTTCTCAGTTATATTCGTTTGCAGTTAAAAATAAATTCGCGTGGTGTCAGTGCACACCAAAAATACGGGGACCTGAAGTGGCATCGTCTGTTGGCAGTTTCATTCGCGCTCTCTCCATCAGTTCGTAATGAACGCCGTGGACGTTGCCTTCACTTTCGCCAAGAGCAACCGGATTCGTATCGTAAAGATTTTCTAACATAAATCATGCTTTTTATGGTCAGCGCTTAACTTTGTTATGGGTCAACATTTTTGAGTGGAACATCTCTAAACGCCGTTTTAATTTCCTGCAAAATGCAACAAAGGGCGCGTTCGTCATGGCGCCGCAGACTTATATTCTTGGCTTTGGGAATGCTGCTTTGGAGAGAGGTACGCGCACAAATACGATATTCTCTTTCTGAGGAGCAGAAAGAAGGATCTGCGGTCGGAAACCTTGCGAAGGATTTAGGTCTCGATACCAGAACGTTAAAGGAGAGAGGATTTCGGATCGTTTCAACTTCAGGCGACTCGCTGTTCACGGTAAATCAGAATGACGGGATTTTAAGTGTAAATGGAAAGATAGATCGCGAGGAGGTGTGCGAGAGAAGCAGCTCGTGTGTCATCAATCTAAAAATCGCGCTAGAAAACCCTTTGGAAATTCACTACGTGTCGATTGAAATCTTGGACGTCAATGATCATGCTCCGACATTCCCAGAAAAAGAAAAGCGGTTGGAAATATGGGAATCTGCCCTACCTGGAGCTCGGTATCAGTTACAGGCGGCGCGGGATCCCGATGGCGGAATGAACTCAGTTCAACAATATAAACTCAGTCATAATGATAATTTCCGCATAGAGGTTAAAGATCGCGGAGAAGATCGCAAAATGCCCTTTTTGATTCTTCAAAAGCCTTTGGATAGAGAATCAAGCCGTAGACACAAGCTAGTCCTCACTGCGCTCGATGGAGGGAGACCCCCAAAGTCTGGAACAATGGATATAGTAGTTGATGTTTTAGATGTTAATGACAATATGCCAGTTTTCACACAAGAACTTTACTCCGTGACGCTTCAAGAAAATGTCCCGGTAGGCACAACTGTTATACAGGTTAATGCTACTGACATGGATGATGGTCCAAATGGAGACATTATTTATTCGTTTGGAAAGGATATAGACAATAGGCTAATACAACTTTTTGATTTAAACTCCAGTACTGGAGAAATGACTGTGATTGGCCCAATAGATTTTGAAGAGATGAATAACTTTGAAATAGATATCCAAGCATCAGACAAAGGGCCTGTTCCTCTCACATCAGATAAGAGTATAACCATAAAAATCATTGACGTAAATGACAATGTGCCTGAGATTGAAGTGACATCATTTTCAAGTGCTGTGCCTGAAGACTCTAAAATTGGAACTACAGTGGCTTTAATCAGCGTCAGTGATTTGGACTCTGGTGTAAATGGGAAAGTGTTATGCTACATAACTGAAGAAATACCTTTCAGACTAATGGCATCATCCCAAGATAACATTTACGCACTGGTTACCGCCTCATCTCTTGATAGAGAAGCTGTGCCTCGCTATGACATCACATTAGTAGCCAAAGATGCTGGGCAACCACCTCTGTCTTCAGTTAAAACTATAACTGTGCAGGTGTTCGATGTAAATGACAATAGTCCAGAATTTTCTCTTTCACCCTATGCTTTTTATGTGATGGAAAACAATGTTCCAGGCAAATCTTTGTTTTCTGTATCTGCTTCTGATCGTGATTTAGATGAAAATGCTGTTGTACACTATAACATTTGGAGAGACTCTGGAGATGAAAACAAATATGTGTCTTTCATTAATATTAACTCTGAAAATGGGGAGATTTATGCGCTTAAGAGCTTTGACTTTGAAACTGTTAAAATGTTCCAGTTCCATGTTGTTGCTACAGATTCTGGAACTCCGTCTCTGAGCAGTAACGTGACAGTGAACGTGTTTATTCTGGATCAGAACGACAACGTTCCAGTGATCTTATATCCAGTCAGCGCTAACGGTTCTGCTGAGGGTGTGGAAGAGATTCCCCGTAATGTGAACGCAGGTCATTTGGTGACTAAAGTCAGAGCCTATGACGCAGATATAGGATACAACGGCTGGTTATTATTTTCACTGCAGGAAGTTAGTGACCACAGTCTCTTTAGTTTGGATCGCTATACAGGACAGATAAGGACCCTTCGCTCATTCACAGAAACAGACGATGCCCAGCATAAACTGCTCATACTGGTCAAAGACAATGGGAACGTTTCACTCTCAGCAACAGCGACTGTGATTGTCAAAGTTGTGGAGCCCAAAGAGGCTTTTGCAGTTTCTGATGTGAAAAACGTAGTAAAAGACGAGGAGGAAAACGACGTGACATTTTATTTGATCATCACTTTGGGCTCGGTTTCAGTGCTTTTTGTCATCAGCATCATCGTACTTATTGTAATGCAGTGCTCTAAATCGACAGTCTATTCATCCAAATATTTACAGGATACAAATTACGACGGGACTATGTGTCACAGCATCCAGTACAGATCTGGAGACAAACGGTACATGTTAGTTGGACCCAGAATGAGTATCGGCTCTACTATAGTCCCGGGCAGTAATGGAAATACTCTAGTGATCCCAGACCGCAGGAGGAGAGATTCTGGAGAGGTAAAATTGTGATCTCTGATGGCTTTTGTGTTTCTTTATTTTGTTTGGCCTTACTGTCCTCTCATCACCCTCTTAAATACATTCAAAATAAACAAATGCAGTAGATTTTTTCATGTTAGGACATGGAAAAAGACAAGCTGATCTCCAATGTATAAGTGTTCAACAGGCTGAAGGACCCTGCATCTGAATGATGAGATTATGAGAGTTTCAGAACCTAAGGATTGAACATATGTATGTGTTTATGTATGATCTGTATATATGTGATGTAGTGTTAGCTGTGTTCACTGTTGGAAGTATATGACTATGTCTGGAGTGAGAGCAACCCTGGTGAAAAAAAAGTACACTGCCATAATCTACTTAAAAGTGCTCTATTTTCGCGCACTGATTTTGTACTTAATATACTAAAATTCTCCTTTATAAGATAATCTTAAGAACATCTAAGTGTACTCAATTGTGCTATTTTGGGACATCATGAATATTAACTAAAATGTGCTAAAAATGTATTTAGGTACCACTTGAACCCATCTTTCATACAAAGATGGGTTCAAGTTTACTACAAGTGGTAACTAAATACATTTTTTAATACAGAGATAGTATGTTAAAAGCACATTTTAGTTCATATATATGGTGTCTCAAAATAACACAGTTGAGTACACTTAGATGTTCTTAAGATTATCTTAAGAAGTGCTAAAGGTGAATTATTAATATATTAAGTACAAAATCAGTGCGCGAAATTAGAGCACTTTAAAGGGATAGTGCACCCAAAAATGAAAATTAGCCCATGATTTACTCACCCTCAGGGCATCTTAGGCGTATCTGTCATTCCTCTTTCAGACGAATCCAATCGTAGTTATATTTAAAAATGGCCTGACTCTTCCAAGCTGTATAATGGCAGTGAATGGTGCCCCTGTTTTTGAAGCCGAAAAAAGTGCATCCATCCATCATAAATCTACTCTACATGGCTCCGGGGTGTTAAT